GTAAGCCTGTGCCTCTAGACTGTGAGTTACTCACATGTGTCTCGGCCCCTCTCTTCTTAGGTAGGATGGGATGGCTAGAGTGGGCTGGAGTTGCGAAGGCTAGGGGGAGCTGAAACAGGGCATTTCCCCCCCATCAAGGCAGCTTATCCTTGGCTAAAACATCAATAGTTTAGGCTCAGATAAAATAGCTTCTTTTGAGTCAGGCTTTGTTAAGAACAGAAGCTGTGGATTATTTCAAAATGGTTACTTTTCCTCTCCTCCTGCCAATAACATGAGGAGATTTTTCTCAGATCTTAACTGTGAGATCTTTGTAGAGCTCTTACAGGTAAAACTTCCAAACAGTAGGGGCTCTCCTATGATTAGGTCTCCTGAAATTTTTAATCTTTTAGACTTGTCCACAGTGAGCCTCCTGCAATTTATCAAAATTACATTTTAAGGTTTCCTAGCCTGACCAACAGGAAGGTTTCTGCTTTGGGGTTCTGCTCTTGTAAGTTGTATTTTCTGAATCTGCCTCCCTGTCTCCAATTTTAGGGGCATCAGTTTGTCCTGCAACCTCACTTCTCTGATCAAAAGACTAAGAATTGTTGATTTTTCAGTTTGCTGAACTTTTTGCTTGTTATTAGCGTGGAGTGACAACTTCTGAGATCCTTGCACATTTTACCAGAAACCTGAGGTACATTTGAAGGATTTTCATTAAAATTAGAATTCTATTTTCATATTTCATGTGCAAGTGAGAATACTTAAAAGTGACACGTTTTCAGCCCTGAAATTGCTTAGTGATGGAACCATTTCTCAAAATACAACGGGTTTTCCACAAATTAATTTTCCAAAATCATTTCATCAGGTCTAACAGACTTTCATAACATTTTAACTTACTACGTCTGATAAAGAGCTTGCATGGGGGTAGGAGAAGTGACAGCTCTCATACTTTCTTATTGTTTGCTTTTGCTTGCATTATTATAATTATTATTGTCCTCAAAAGATGTTTTATTTTTTAAAACTACTTGTCCATTTTGAAAGGATTAGTTTGATTAGAACTAGCTAATTTTATCTATCAATCCTCTTCTCCAGATACATATAAACTGTACTACATTGCCATACACTGAGACTAGGGGAAAAAATAAACATGCAATTGTTCAGTTTTAGAACTCCCATTCTCCTCAGAGAAAGAAGAGCCTTGTGTATCATGTGTGACGTATAATTAACTTATAGATAGAAAAAGGATTATTGCAGTTTCTAAATTTTTATAAGATGACTGACTGAATTTTCAGATAAAAATAAAGGCAAATAAGAATTGCAATATTTTGCTACATCTCATTGATTTATCTTTTACATAATCCATAAGCCCTTACTGAAAAGATTCACTGATAAGACTAAAGAAAGGTAGCATTTCTCTCATTGTAACTGAAAAGTCTCTTAAACCCGAAGGGTAACTGCTTCACCAGATCAATAGATACCAAAAAACCAGATTCTTTTAGTTTACTTTTTTTGATATTGTCAAAAATCACTCTGCTAGCATGATTTTTAGACTAGAAACAAGAAGTCTGCAGCAATTTTAGGCATTATATACAAGTCTTATAACAACCGGAAGAACACAGTCCATCTCTTGGAAGACAGAAAAATTATTCCAGAAGAACTCCCTTGGAGCTTGGATGCAGTCTGCTTACCCTGAGGCATATGGTTAAGGGAATGAAGGGTGGATGTCTAAAAAAGGAAAAAAAGTTTCCTATTAAGGAGAGAAAAGAGTTGCTGGGTAGGAAACCACTGGGTAGCTTAAATAAGCAGATTAATCATACTATGTTGGCAATCAATTGGATGAAATGGTCAAATATAGATAGTTGATATATATCGCCTTGCTCAATCAAGGCCTGTAAGAGCATTGGGAAAATGAACTCAATGAATTATCATTTATTTGCAAGAGGCATCATACAATATTCATTTTTTAAGAATGGCTATTTTAAAACTTGTATACTTGCCTTGTACTGGATCTTTAAGAGAAACTTCTCTGTTTTTTCCCACTGATTATGATGTTAGCTGTGAGCTTTTCATTTATGGCCTTTGTTGTGTTAAGGCAAGATCCTTCCATGCCTATTACCTTCTCCATCTATACCTATTTTGTGAGAGTTTTAATCATGAGTGGATGTTGAATTTGGTCAAATGCTTTTTGTGTATCTATTGAAATGGTCATGTGTTTTTTTTCTATTCATTTTGATAATAAATAGAAAATGTATGGTATATCACAATGATTGATCTGTGTATACGAAACCATACTTGCATCCCAGCAATAAATCCCACTTGGTTAGGATATATGATCTTTTTAATGGGCTGCTGAATTTTATTTGATAGTATTTTATTGAGGATTTTTGATTCTGTGTTCATCAGGGATATTGGGCTGTAGTTTTCTTTCCTTGCAGTGTATGTCTGATTTTGGTGTCAGGGTGATACTGGCCTCATAGGATAAGTTTGGAAGTGTTCCCTTTGCTTTTATTTTTTTGGAAGAGTTTAAGAAAAATTGGTATTACTTCTTCTTTGAATGTTTAATAGAATTACCCATGAAGCCACCTGGTTCTGGGCTTTTCCTTGGTGGGAGATTTTTGACTACTCACATATCGCTTTATTTGTTATTGGTGTGTTCCAACTATTTCTGACTCAGTTTTGGCAGGTGGTATGTTCCTAGAAATTTTACTATTTCTTCTAGGTTATCCAGTTTGCTGGCATATAATTGCTCATAATAGTCCCTTATGATTCCCCTCATGCCACCTAAAACATCAGTTGTATCATCTTCTCTTTCATTTCTGCTTTTATTTATTGACAACTTTTTTTTTTTTACTATAGTCAAGGGTTTGTCAATTTTATTTTTTTCAAAAAACAAAGTTTTGTTAAATGTTCTGTTGTCTTTTATTTTCTATTTGATTGGTTTCTCCTATAATCTTCATTATTTCCTTCCTTTGATTACCTTTGGGCTTAATTTGTTGTTCTTTTTCTAGTTCCTTGAGGTATAAAGGTAAATTGCTTATTTGATATATATTTTTTCCTTTTAAATTTAGGCTTTATAGCTATAAACTTCCCTAGCAGAATGTCTTTTGCTGCATCCTATAGGTTTTGGTATGTTGTATTTTCATTTGTCTCAGATACTTTTAAAGTTCCTTTACTTATTCTTTGACTCAATGATTGTTCAGGAGTGTGTTTAGCATTTTTGCCACTTCATTTCAACATAGTGCTGGAAATCCTAGACAGAGCAATTAGGAAAGAGAAGGACATAAAGGACATCAAAATCAGAAAAGAAGAAAATTATCTATATTTGCAAATGACATGACTATATATTTAGTAAACCCGTTAGAACTAATACATAGATTCAGTAAAGTTGCGGTGTACAAAATCAACATATAAAAATTAATCACGTTTCTATATACAAATTACAAAATATATGGAAAGGAAATTAAGAAGCAATCCTATTCACAGTGGCAATAAAACTTAAGAATTAACCAAAGAAGGTGAGACTCTTGTACACTAAAAGTTATAAAACATTGATGAAGAAAATGAAAGAAGACACAGATAATGGATGGATCTGAATTAATATTGTTAAAATGTCCGTACTACCTGTAATTATCTGCATATTTAATGCAATCGCTCTCAAAATGCCAATGTCATTCTTTACAGAAGTAGACAAAACAATCCTAAAATTCATACGGAATCACAAAAAAACCTCAAATAGCCCAAGCAATCTTCAGCTAAAAGAACAAACCTGGAGCCATTGCACTACTTAATTTCAAAATATATTACAGAGCTACAATAAGCAAAACAGTATAGCACTGTTAAAAAAAACCAGACAGGTAGATTATGGAACAGAATAAAGAACCCAGCTAAGTGTGGTATTTTAGCCACAAGGAAGGGAAAAGTTGTTTTGAGCCTTAGTATTGAGATAGAAACATGAAAGCCCCTATTTTACACCCCAAATTACAGGTATCACATATAAGATCAATATTTTATCTCACATATGTAAGGTTCTTGTTTTAAAATAAAGGTAGAGATCTAAGATGAGAAGTGGCTATTTGATGTGAGTTTTATTTGGAAGGGGACTTTAAGGCAATTGAGTTTAATCTCTGATACAGTAGAAGAAAATCTCATGGCCATAATAGCTGAGTCGGAACAGCACAAAATACTTTGTTGCTCTGTTTTGTGAATGGTAGGCCTGTTTGAATAACTTGATTGTTTTAAAAAAAAGTAAGATGAGCTGAATGTGTTGACTTCACTTTCAAAAATATAGTCTTAGTCTATGACAAAAAATTAAATGGTAAATGATCACTGTGGTTTAAATAAAAAATTATGGTTTAACTAGTAATATTCACTCTTCAAAACTGAACACAGCGTTATTAAAGACCAAGAATGCTACTGAGAATAAATAGATTTCTAAGCTTTTGAAGGTAACAAAAATAACTATATGACTTTTGAGAAAAGATCCTTTGATGCCACTATCAGATAGAATATGACTGAATTGTTCTGGTCAGCATAGAATTTCTTATTTCATAATCATCTAGGAAAGTATTTTTAAGCAGTAAGGAGTCCTCTTAGCTGATAAGTTGAAACTCATTATCAACAATGAAAAAATTCCGTATTTTTAAAAAGGTACTCAAATAAACAATGCTTTTTTAGATTTTACTTTTTTTCCCCTAACTTTCTTTCTTTCTTTTTTTTTTTTGAGATGGAGTTTCACTCTTGTTGCCCAGTTGCCTAGGCTGGAGTGCAATAGTGCAATTGTGGCTCACTGCAACATCTGCCCCCCAGGTTCAAGTGATTCTCCTGCCTCAGCCTCCTGAGTGGCTGGGATTACAGGCATGCACCACCATGCCTGGCTAATTTTGTATTTTTAGTAGAGATGGGGTTTCCTCCATGTTGGTCAGGCTGGTCTCAAACTCCCCACCTCAGGCGATCCACCCACCTCGGCCTACCCAAATGCTGGGATTACAGGCATGAGCCACCACACCCAGCCCCTAACTTACCTTTCAAATTCTGTTGATATTCAATGGTATGTTGTAGACTTTTTATTATACTATGAAGAGCAGCACATTCTAAAACAAAAAAGTAAATTTATTTTAAAATACCTTGCTTTCAATTTTGGAATTATTCTTTCAGTTGAAGTAATTAAAATAATATATAAGCCAGGCATGGTGGTGTGCACCTTGTAGTCCCACCTACTCAAGAAGCTGAGGCAGCAAGATCACATAAACCCAAGAGTTTAAGGGTGCAGGGGCTATGCTTATGCCATTGTACTCCATCCTGGGTGACAGAACAAGACCCTGTCTCTAAAAATAATAATAATAATATTTAATTGGAAATTACAAGATAGTAATAAAGCAAACAAGTACCTTAAAGGAAATTATATAAGGGAAAAATATAACTTTTATTTTTGTGAGACAGACTCTTGCTCTGTCACTCAGGCGGGAGTGCAGTGGTGCGACCTTGGCTCACTGCAACCTCTGCCTACTGGGTTCAAGTGATTCTCCTGCCTCGGCTTCTTGAGCAGCTGGGATTACAGGCACATGCCACCATGCCTGGCTAGTTTTTGCATTTTTGTAGAGATGGGGTCTTACCATGTTGGCCAGGCTGGTCTCGAACTCCTGACCTCAGTCCATTTGCCTTGGCTTCCCAAAGTACTGGGACTAAAGGTATGAGCCTTTACTTTTAACTCACTCATTAACGCAAATGAATTTCAAAACTTAGTAATGACTTTCCTAAGGCACAGAATAGTACTGATCCTACCATGTGCCTAAGCAATCTCTGCCCTAGTGGTAAGGCATACCTGCACATTTCCAGGGAACTATAAGAAGTATGTTCATGTAAATCTTCCATGAAAGAACATCCTAAGGAAAGGGAGTTAAATTATATTGTTTTGGTATAAGATAATATGTGGTACAATTGCATGGGATAGGACAACATTTTTCTTACTGTCTTCCAATGTGTCCTCTTAGTACTTATGCCTGTGTCTTAGAGCAAGAGATTAGCAATAAAAGAAGTAGAAACTCAATAAGTAGTGTTCCAAGGCTTCGGCAACTTTGCTGTCAATGGCTTCTGACATAATAGGAGTTAGAAGTTTCGTTGCAAATTTTAGAGCCTTGACATGCGCATCCAAGCCTTGACTGTACTATTGGTTACCACCAGCAACAGCCAAGAAGGATAGCAATAGTAGTGGTAACTTCTATTACTTTAGAAGTCCATTTAGCTATTAGTGCTACAACAGCAGAGACCATTTTTTATGTTTCTTACCATTGCTTCCTAGTATTTAGAACACTTGTGGTCCATAGCAGGCAATCCACAAATATTTGTTCAGTGATTATTGGGTGGATAGGTAATATCACAGTAAACTGAAGCAGAAGAGGGGTAAGTGGAGAGTCTCTGGTATGAAAATAACATATATTTTGTCAATAGAATGAAAGAACCAATATTGTGAAGGAAGAATTCAAAACTTTTTTCACTTTTTAATTAGACATTCTGCACTTAGTCTCATGTACTTTTTCAACTATGCTGACAGAAATGAAAGTTATTTTGCAGAAGTTTAAACGTTTATGATGATATAAGGTTCTGCTATTGTGGCTCTTCACTCCTCCCTGTTCTCCCTATCATCCCCATCATCCATTCAAAGTTCCCATCATCCTCCATTTTATCAATCTTGCTATTTCCCAGTAAGAGAATGATGGTTAAATTACATTTGACAGAAATTAGCTGAGAATTTGCTTCATGAATCTCACTGTGCTAGCTGCTACAATTAAAAAATTAGAGGCATAGACAGACTCTGTTATCACTTGTCTTTGTGCCTTTTAGAGTAATGAATCCAGTGAATCATAGAATATAGTAGTTGAATTACCTCAGTAATCTGTACATTGAAAACAGAACCCTGCAACTGAATGTTTCAAAAATGTGTATTTTCAAAACTTGAACACAAGGTGGCTCTCTCACCACATTTTTCTACAATGGAACCTAGATAAGAAATTCTTCACAAGAATATCATTCACTAATTTTGAATAATGGCTTTTAATTCTCTCTGTGAACTTTAATTCACATTTTTTTTTGTTGGACTTTACCATGTAATTTGAAAATAGTAGCCTATTAAATTCTTCCTAAAAACCAGAAGTCCAAATGTTAAGCTATTTCTTATGCTATATAATTTAGTAAATCAATAATCATTCTGAGCTCAAATATAGACTCTAAGATTAACCAATAATATGAATACTAATATGTATTTCATATAATAGAGATATTAAATGCAATTACACATGTAAAGAGTTTTATGCAGTGCTTTGTTCTCCATACTAATATTATTACTATCTTTAATCGGCAAAGAAATTCTTTATCTGGCTGGCATCAGATGTAGAAAATAAAATGTCCATATATCATTCTTTGTTGTTGAATAAATCCAATCACGTGTAGTTTGCCCTTCCTTCCTAAGTGAATTATTACACACTTGGCTCCATAAGTTGTCATTCTCATTTGTTCTTTTATTTTTCATAAGTACTATCCAGTAGAAAGGACATTAGATTTAGAACAAGTAAAATTGTATTTCTTAAAAATAATTTTTGTGGTTACATAGTAGGTGTATATATTTATGGGGTACATGAGATGTTTTGATAAAGGCATACAATGTGAAACAAGGACATCATGGAGAATGGAGTATCTCTCCCCTTAAGCATTTATCAGTTGAGTTATAAACAATTTAATTACATTCTTTAAGTTATTTTAAAATGTACAATTAAGTTATTATTGACAATAGTTACTTTATTGTTCTAACAAACAGTAGGTCTTATTCATTCTATTTTTTTTTTTTTGTACTCATTAGCCATCCCCACCTCCCTTCCAGACCCCCTACTACTCTTCCCAGCCTCTGGTAACCATCCTTCTACTCTTTATGTCCATGAGTTTAAATATTTTGACTTTTAGATCCCATAAATGAGAACATGTGATGTTTGTTTTTCTGTACCTGGCTTATTTCACTTAACATAGTGATCTCCAGTTCCATATGTTGTTGCAAATGGCAGGATCTCATTCTTTTTTATGGCTGAATAATACTCCATTGTGTATGAGTATCTTATTTTCTTTATTCATTCATCTGTTGATGGACACTTAGGTTCCTTCAAATCTTGGCTATTGTAATCAGTGCTGCAACAAAGAGTGCAGATATCTCTTTGATATACTGAATTCCTTTCTTTTGTGTATATACCCAGCAGTGGGATTGCTGGGTCCTATGGTAGTTCTATTTTTAGTTTTTCAAAGAGCCTCCAGACTGTTCTTCAAAGTGACTATACTAATTTACCTTCCCACCAACAGTGTACAAGGGTTCTCTTTTCTCCACATCCTTACCAGCATGTGTTATTGCCTGTCTTTGGATATAAGCCATTGTAACTCAGGTGAGATGAGATTTCATTGTAGTTTTGATTTCATTTCTCTGATGATCAGTGATGTTGAGCACCTTTTCATAGGCCTGCTTACCATTTGTATGTCTTCTTCTGAGAAATGTCTATTCAAATCTTTTGCCCATTTTTGGATTGGATTATTTGGTATTTTTTTTCCTGTAGGGGTATTTAAGCTCCTTATATATTCTGGTTATTAATCCCTTGTCAGAGGGGTAGTTTGCAAATACTTTTTCTCATTCTATGGGTTTTCTCTTCACTTTGTTGATTGTATCTTGTGCTGTGCAGAAGCTTTTAAACGTTATGTGATCCCATTTGTCTATGTTTGCTTTGTTTGCCTGTGCTTGTGAGGTATTGCTCAAGAAATCTTTGCCCAGAGCAATGTCCTAGAGATTTTCCCTGATGTCTTCTTCTAATAGTTTCATAGTTTGAGGTCTTAGATTTAAGGTTTTAATTCATTTTGATTTTATTTTTGTGTATGGTGAGAGACAGGAGTCTAGAATATCCAGTTTCCCCAACACCATTTATTGAAGAGACTGTCTTTTCCTCAGTGTATGTTCTTGGCACCTTTGTCAAAAATGAGTTCACTATGGATGTGGGGATTTGTTCATGGGTTCTCTATTCTGTTACATTGGCCTATGTGTCTGTTGTTATGCCAGTATCATACTGTTTTGCTTACTGTAGCTCTGTAGTATAATTTGAAGCCAGGTAATATGATTTCATTTTTTTTTCAGTTTTTTTCATTTTGTTTAGGACAGATTTGGCCATCTGGGTCTTTTGTAGTTCAATATAAATTTCAGATTGTTTTTTCTATTTCTGTGAAGAATGCCATTAGTATTTTGATAGGGATTGCATTGAATCTGTAGATTCCTTTGAGTAGTATGGACATTTTTAATAATATTGATTCTTCTAGTCCAAGAACACGGAATATTTTTCCATTTTTTGGTACCCTCTTTAATTTCTTTCAGTAGTGTTTTGTAGTTTTCATCATAAAAATCTTTCACTACTTTGGTTAATTCCTAGGTATTTAATTTTATTAGTAACTATTGTGAATGGGATTACTTTTCAAATTTCTATTTTAGGTTGTTCACTGTTGGCATATAGAAATGCTACAGAGTTTTGTATGTTTATTTTGTATCCTGCATCTCTACTGAAGTTGTTTATCTATTCTAATAGTTTTCTTGTAGTTTCTAGGTTTTTCCAAATATAAGTTTATATCATCTGCAAACAAGAATAATTTGACTTCTTCTTTTCCAGTGTGGATGCCCTTTATGTCTTTCTCTTGTCTGATTCCTCTAGTGAGGGCTTCCAGTACTATGCTGAATAACAGTGGTGACAGTGGGCATTCTTATCATGTTCCAGATCTTAGAGGAAAGGCTTTCAGTTTTTCCCCATTCAGTATGGTACTAGTTTTGGGTCTGTCATATATTGCTTTTATTATGTTTAGTTATATTTCTTCTATCTTAGTTTTTTGAGAGTTTTTATTATGAAGGAATGTTGAATTTTATCAATCCTTTTTCAGCATCAATTGAAATGGTCTTATAATTTTTAGCCTTCATTCTGTTGATATGATGTAACAACACATTGATTGATTGGCATATGTTGAATCATCCTTGCATCCCAGGGATAAATCCCACTTAGTCATGATAAAACATCTTTCTAATGTA